TAATAAATTTGGCACGCCCCTGAATATGGCACCCAGGGTGGGGGTGGGCTCCTTCACCCCCCCTCCCGCACTGCCCTGATCTCAAAAACTCTTAAACCACAGCAAGCAAAAATGTTATTGATTTCTTTTAAACGAAATATTTATATGATGAGGAGTGGGGAAAAAATATTTTTTTATTGATTTCTTTAAAGCGAAATGTTTCTATGATGTGAAGTAGACTAAAGCATAACTAAAGCAGTTGAATAGTTCACTGTTCGTTGTCGCAGTAAATTAACGGTTGACAATCCGTGTAACCTGTAATAAAATCAACGTGATTTTTCGATTTTCTTGATTACGTTCAGACATTTAACGTCAGGACGTCGCAGGAACGAATTTAATTTTACGATTTAACCCGGTTGAAGAATTATTGATCGTGTTCGACTTACAAAATGCATGTTCGTTTATTACTATGTAAATACTACGTCTTGCCAGCATATTCGAAAATCGATTCGTTGTTCATCCTTGTTCAGAATCCAAGACATTTTATCAAACACTTCATTTTTTTTACAAATGATTTTGAAATTATTCTCTGATTTCTTTTGCAACCCCCCCCCCCTTTTTTTTTTCTTCTAATATTATACATTTTTTTTTAAAAATGCTATCAACTGGAGTCCATGTCTTAACTAAAAGTTTGCCCCTTGCATCAATGTAAAATCGATTTGTTTTTCATCCTTTTTCAGAATCCAAGACATTTTATCAAACACTTTATTTTTTTTTCAAATTATTTTGAAATTTTTTTCTTATTTCTTTTTCAACCCCCCCCCCCCTTTTTTTTTTCTTCTAATATTATACATTTTTTTTTAAAAATGCTATCAACTGGAGTCCATGTCTTAACTAAAAGTTTGCCCCTTGCATCAATGTCGTCAGGGAAAGATACTAAAGAGCATGACTGTGCCGAGGAAAAGCGATACCCGGGGGCGAAGCCTGACAGTGCCGCCCCTGTAAATATAGGGGGGGGGGAATCCACCTGGAGAGGAGCGGTAAATAGGCGATTTTGGCACCCCCCACCCTTTTTCTCTGTGGAGTGCATACATTAAATTAAATATGATTTTATTCCCTATCAACAGTGGTGTAGGACCAAAAAAAAGGGGTGGGGTGGGGGTTAGGATTTTTTTTTTTAATATAGACAGGAGAACAAGATATCTTAAAGCTTGAGTCAACAGACAGGAGAACAAGATATATTAAAGCTTGAGTCAATAGACAGGAGAACAAGATATCTTAAAGCTTGAGTCAATAGACAGGACAACAAGATATCTTAAAGCTTGAGTCAACAGACAGGAGAACAAGATATCTTAAAGCTTGAGTCAACAGACAGGAGAACAAGATATATTAAAGCTTGAGTCAATAGACAGGAGAACAAGATATCTTAAAGCTTGAGTCAATAGACAGGAGAACAAGAATCTTAAAGCTTGAGTCAATAGACAGGAGAACAAGATATCTTAAAGCTTGAGTCAACAGACAGGAGAACAAGATATCTTACAGCTTGAGTCAATAGACAGGAGAACAAGATATCTTAAAGCTTGAGTCAATAGACAGGAGAACAAGATATCTTAAAGCTTGAGTCAATAGACAGGAGAACAAGATATCTTAAAGCTTGAGTCAATAGACAGGAGAACAAGATATATTAAAGCTTGAGTCAATAGACAGGAGAACAAGATATCTTAAAGATTGAGTCAATAGACAGGACAGCAAGGTGTGTTAAAGCTTGAATCAATAGACAGGACAGCAAGGTGTGTTAAAGCTTGAATCAATAGACAGGACAGCAAGGTGTGTTAAAGCTTGAATCAATAGACAGGACAGCAAGGTGTGTTAAAGCTTGAATCAATAGACAGGACAACAAGATATCTTAAAGCTTGAATCAATAGACAGGAGAACAAGATATTGACGTTTCGGCTTAGAGCCTTCTTCTTTGTTGTTTCAAAACTGTAAAACTTTTTTTTTTTTGGGTAATGGGTTACTTGTACAGAGCTTCACACCTACGTCTGTGGGACGCTTTAAAAGAAAACATGGTCAAAGTCCCTGAACTTGGCCTACATCACAAAGATCTTTTTTTTTTATTTTATACTGCCACTGTTTAAACTATCTCTTTATTAACTATTCCTATCATAATGTATCATGGTTCCTTGAAATGTATTTACTGTGTGCGTGTGTTTGTTATAACTATAAATGTATGCAGTGTGAACTTAGGTGAAGAAAACCGTTGAATTAAAGATGTATTTTTTAAAATATTTCTAAGGACTTATTTTTATAATTTTATGTCGCAGTCAGGTGTACGTATTAAAGAACTTCAAAAACCTAACATTTAAAAAAAAATAAAATAATAAATTACACATTTTGAGAACCCTTTATTTAGTTCTCGGCTCTAAATCGTTTCCCCGTGGATGCTAATGGGAGATAACGCCGTGTGAATGGAACGAGTTCATTTAAAGGCGTTCAAACAATTACCGGCTTATCGACCGTTTTTAGATAAAAACCGACGCCCAGGTTCGTACTGCGTCAACCAGCGCTAATAAATGACTTGATAGTAGTCGCCCTTGTTACTTCAGTCTTCTTCTTGTCACTTCAGGCTTCTTCTTGTCACTTCAGGCCTCTTCTTGTCACTTCAGGCCTCTTCTTGTCACTTCAGGCTTCTTCTGGTCACTTCAGTCTTCTTGTGGTCACTTCAGTCTTCTTCTCTGTGTTGTTCACGTCCATAGACCTGAGTTAATAAATGACTTGATAGTAGTCACCCTTGTTACTTCAGGCTTCTTCTTGTCACTTCAGTCTTCTTCTTGTCGCTTCAGTCTTCTTCTTGTCGCTTCAGTCTTCTTCTTGTCGCTTCAGTCTTCTTCTGGTCACTTCAGTCTTCTTCTGGTCACTTCAGACTTCTTCTGGTCACTTCAGGCTTCTTCTGGTCATTTCAGTCTTCTTCTTGTCGCTTCAGGCTTCTTCTTGTCGCTTCAGGCTTCTTCTTGTCGCTTCAGTCTTCTTCTGGTCACTTCAGTCTTCTTCTGGTCACTTCAGTCTTCTTCTGGTCACTTCAGTCTTCTTCTGGTCACTTCAGTCTTCTTCTGGTCATTTCAGTCTTCTTCTTGTCATTTCAGTCTTCTTCTTGTCACTTCAGTCTTCTTCTGGTCACTTCAGTCTTCTTCTGGTCACCTCAGTATTCTTCTGGTCACCTCGGTCTTATTCTGGTCACTTCAGTCTTCTTCTGGTCACTTCACTATTCTTCTGGCCACCTCAGTCTTCTTCTGGTCACTTCAGTCTTCTTCTTGTCACTTCAGGCTTCTTCTTATCACTTCACACTTCTTCTTGTCACTTCAGACTTCTTCTGTGTGCTGTTTGCCTGCCTCAACTAATTTTATTTCTTTTTTTTTTTCATACTAAATTGTGTCAGTCGGTGTTTTTATGTGGACATTTGGATACAATGTATGTACATATTTGGTTACGGTGCATGTGGACATTTTGGTACAATGTATGTACATATTTTGTTACGGTGCATGTGGAAATTTTGGTATTGTGTGTGTGTGCCTATTTGGGTATGGCGTTTGTTCCTATTTGGGTACGGTGTGTGTGCCTATTTGGGTACGGTGTGTGTGCCTATTTGGGTACGGTGTGTGTGCCTATTTGGGTACGGCGTGTGTGCGTATTTGGGTACGGTGTGTGTGCGTATTTGGGTACGGTGTGTGTGCCTGTTTGGGTACGGTGTGTGTGCCTATTGGGGTACGGTGTGTGTGCCTATTTGGGTACGGTATGTGTGCCTATTTGGGTACGGTGTGTGTGCCTATTTGGGTACGGCGTATGTGCCTATTTGGGTACGGCGTGTGTGCCTATTTGGGTACGGCGTGTGTGCCTATTTGGGTACGGCGTGTGTGCCTATTTGAGTACGGCGTGTGTGCCTATTTGGGTACGGTGTGTCAACATTTGTGTGCACATTAGTGTACCCTGTGTGTTCATTTGGTTGTGTGTGCTTGCAGAATTGGGTAAAATCTGTTTGCACGTTGTGTCGTTGTATGTTTGGGTATGGTGTGTGTGTGTGCACTTTTTGTCACCGTATGTTTGCGATGTCTGTATGTATGTCTGATGCCTTTCCTATTGTACATATTGAGTCTGGAAAAGTCTCTTTTGTTCAAGACTGTAAACCTAAGTTCAGTTTTGCTATTTTTTTTTCTTTTCATCTAGTCGAAGTATAGTTTTGTCTAGTCAAAGTATAGTTTTGTCTAGTCAAAGAATAGTTTTGTCTAGCCAAAGTATAGTTTTGTCTAGTCAAAGTATAGTTTTGTCTAGTCAAAGAATAGTTTTGTCTAGCCAAAGTATAGTTTTGTCTATTCAAAGTATAGTTTTGTCTAGTTAAAGTTTAATTTTGTCTTGTCAAAGTATAGTTATGTCTGGTCAAACGGTATAGTTTTCTCTGGTCAAAGTATAGTTTTGTCTAGTCAAAAGTATAGTTTTGTTGAGTCAAAAGTATAGTTTTGTCTAGTCAAAGTATAGTTTTGTCTAGTCAAAAGTATAGTTTTGTCTGGTCAAAGTATAGTTTTGCCTAGTCAAATTATAGTTTTGTCTAGTCAAAAGTAAAGTTTTGTCTGGTCAAAGTATAGTTTTGTCGAGTCAAAAGTATAGTTTTGTCTGGTCAAAGTATAGTTATGTCTAGGCAAAGTATAGTTTTGTCTAGTCAAATTATAATGCAAGATGGTCTAGCTGGTCAGGGAGCTCTTTCATTACTTCTTTCAGGAAACAACACTTCTAATACAGACAACAAACGTATTTCTGTGCATATTTCTTCCTCTTGTTGTTTGTTGTTCTAGACATTTAAGTATACCTATACTTTTTAAGAATGGCATTGCACAACTTGCTATTTATGGCTGAATTAAATTGAAACAAAATAAAAGAGCAACATTGTATTGTTGTATCAAGTATAACACTATTTATAACAAAAACATCACAAAGAATACTTATAAAATGTAATTTTTAATTATAATAATGTATTAAGCATAATATTTTATGGCACGCATGATAACAATGGCAACGGGCAGACAATGGAAAGGCGTTACATTTTATGAACACTCTGAAATGAATTAATCATCAGATGACTTTTCTTTCTGGCATGTTTTGTGGAAAGCTCATAAAAGCTTAAAATTAAAAAATCATTTTTTTCATACTGCATGTTTTGTGAACAAATTAGACAGGACTAATAAAATGATGACTTATGAGAATGTCTTTTCTAATGGTGCAAAGTAGAGTTTATAATATTTTTTAAACCAGAAAATAATTATCTGAAAAATTATTACTGTAGATGTGTATCAAAATTGCAAGTTTTTAATTTCTTGGAAACAATAGCTAACAAATATAAATCTGAATAATTAATGATGTCTATTAAAAAAAAACAGAAATAACAAAAGGGACATCATTCATGTTTGTCAATGTGGAAAAATGAAATTCAAAAAGAACATTTTCTTAAAGGGAACATTTTTTTTTTTAAGCACAAGGATTAGAGAAAGGAAATAAATTGGTGAGATGAGAAAATAACTTTTTCTTGAATGCAAACCATTTATCTATAACAATAATAATTACCCAGTGGAAGTTTTCCCGCGCCGCTCAAGAAAGGTAATACAGTTTAACCCCTTTCAAAATTTTTTTACGGCTTAACTCCCTCAGCTAAAGCTTTTAAAGTTAAAAATGATACACTAATCATTGGGGGCAAAGGGGGGAGGGGGGAATAGAATTCCAGAAGGCGCCCCATCAAAGCTTAAGAGACACCATGAGTCAGCCCACAGCACTGCCGGTAATGACTGTCTTCTTTTGTATTCAAAGTCAATCATTTTCAACAAAATTAATCCAAACAATTAGATTCTATTTAACTTGGGCTTCCCAGGATGGGTAACTAAAATGCTGAAACACTGAACCTGTCGTGTGATTTTCAGAACGTGCTCTATTAAAACAAAGGTGACATTTTTTCTAGCTGGCTAAGCAGACCAAAGATTTCCATTTTGCATGGTGCCAGAAACATAATAAACATAAAAATGTTCTGTGCAATATGCAGGGCAAAGAAATCTTTTCTTGACATGGCTTAATATAGAGGGCGCTCTTCATTGTTCATCTAGATTCTATAGTTTGGTAAATTTTTTTGATGGTGGCCAATGTATTTTTTTAAAATTTAGAGCCTAGGCCGGTTTTAGGACAGTTTTATCTCCATACAAAATTTAGGCATTTAACTTTCCATCCTTTATGCACCCTTTTATACTGCTACTCTTGTCTTGACAATGTTAACAAATTATACACAACACACATCTAACATACTTTTAATAGAAATGCATAATAAATTTGTAAAATTGAACCGGGATTACATAAAAATTTCATACATCTATATACAAATAAGATACCACGGGTAATCATTGATCAGTATCATAATGGTTCTATAAGATACCTCTTGGAAAAATTGATCAGTATCACAATGGTTATAACGGCAACAATAAAAGAATGAACTTTATGTATGCAAGGGAAATAATACTGCATCTTTTGTCTGAATTATTGCAATGGCAAAAGCTGTTTTAATTATGTATTTTCAATGTAACATATTATTATTATTATTATTATTCTTTTTATGTGCTAAATATAAAAGAAATCATTAAGCTTAGGATTTAAATTTATTGCCTAAGCTATATAAAAATAACTTCAGCTAATTTTTTTTATCTTGTGATAATTTTTTTTTTTTTTTTTTTTTTTTGTTTTTTTTGGTTAAAAAATTATGTTAGTTTATTTTGTTATTCATAATTACAAAAACATTTTTGATGAACATATTAGAACATGCTTTTCCTTGCAGCTTTGATAAATTTGGGGTTTTTTTTTTTTTTTTTTTCTTTTTTTTTTTTTATTATTTTTTTTTTTTTTTTTTTTGTTATTTTTATTTGTTAAAAAATTATGTTAGTTTATTTTGTTAATCATAATTACAAAAACATTTTTGATGAACATATTAGAACATGCTTTTCCTTGCAGCTTTGATAAATTTGGGGATTCATTATGAGGTAAGGTAAACATTTGGTTACTGTTTGAGAGATGCGCAGGCTCTGAAGTCGGTCCTAACACACAAGATTTGAGCCACAGTTCGGACATGTCTGCCTTTACGGTGTCCTGACTCTGCCTGTCCCGTGTCCTAGCTCTGCCTGTCTGTGACCATGAGTTGGATGTCATTCTGTGCCCTCATCACAATACTTTCCTGTTTCTCCACCTTGTGTCCAGGGTCTAACCTAATGCTGAATCTGGGAAGCAGTTAAGTTCATACTATTTGAGTAGGGCTTTGTATAGATAAACCTTATAGGCTTATGATAAAACTTATGACCAAAAAAATCCTAACTATCTGCCAGGCTATGCGCCAAGTCTTGGTAATTCATTTCAATTCAGAAATTTTATTTTTGGACGTAGAACTTATGCTTATTTTTTATATTTAAACTGAATTTAATAAACCTCGTAAAGTGACCAGCAAGGTTATCTACAGATGAACACCTTCCCGTGTAATATACAAGCTAAAACGCTAGTGACCACTTACCTGTATAAGATACGAGCTAACTTACAAGTGACTAGTTACCTGTGTAAGATTCGAGCTAACTTACATGTGACCACTTACCTGTGTAAGATACGAGCTAGCACAATCTTGATCTCATCCATGGCAAAGTTCTGACCAATGCAGTTCCTGAGGATAAATATGGAACGTTAATTTCAATCAATTTTATTTCAGACATAACAAAACTACTTTTTTCAACCTGTTTCAAGCAACAAAAGTGTTTGGTGACAAATTCACAGCTTTCCTAAGATACAACTGGCTTTTAAAAGACAAAAAAAAAAGGATTTTAACAACAGCACATAAGGTATCAAAAGTAATTCAGGAGTGAGTTATATATTTTCTCATCCACATATCTACCCTCCTAGCCTCGCTTACCTTGGTCCGGCTGAAAATGGCACAAAGGCGTAAGCACTCCTTTTCTCAACATTCTCAGGCAAAAATCTGTCAGGGTTGAATTTCTGTGACATAAAAGTTGTTGTTTTTTTTTTAATTACTGAATTTAAATTTTTAACAAAGCTGTCAAATGCACAACCAAATTTTTTTTTTAAAAATCACAGTGAAATATTTTAAAACTTATGATGAGGCGTTACCAAGGAGTCTTCCCAAATGGTAGGATTGTGGTGGGCATTGTAGATGATTATGTTGACCATCGTCCCAGCTGGGGTCATTCTCCCGTCAATCTCTGTGTCCTCTGTCAAATCCCGCTGGATGAAAGGGACGGGGGAGTGGAGGCGGAGAGCTTCTTTGATGACCATGGTCAAGTATGGAAGATGGGACAAGTCCTCCCTGAAATTGTTGAGGGCACTGCATTAAAATATCCATTACAGTAAAATGCCAATGAACATCATTATTTCTAACCATGTGTCTCTTGACATAAACATAGAACACTTTCAACAATATTACACTATTATCACATGTATTACTGAAATTCTTTCTACTTTTTGGCATACCACACAATTTTAAGGAAGTGGTGGGGGGAGGAGAAGGTGTAAGAATTTTACAAATTTATAAATCTACTGACCGAAATCTTTGAACTGATCTTAAGCTGATCATACGGGAGGAAAAAACTATGAGCAGCTAACAGAGAATGTTGTGTAAGGTGTAATATTTTAATTGATAGAAATGGGATGAAACCTAAACAAAATTATTTTAAGTACTCTCTAATGTAAGTAGAAATAAGATGGCGCCCTAAAAGTTGAAGCAAAGCATGATTTAAGATAATCCCGTGTGACGGGCTTTGAAGTGTTACAGAGTTTGCAAATTAGCCTGGAGCCTGCGATTGTATTTCAAGTAGTTCTCAAAGAAGTCATCGCACAAATGAGTTATTACTGAAATGCCCCCGAGTCAAAAGATATAGAAATACAATCGTTGGTTTAAGTTGGGCTCAAATTTTACCATAAAATATCTGACGTTGTTTTATTGGTCATCAGATTGTCTATTTCCTCATGAATTCTTTGCTGAATCTGTTCATGCTCTGCTATTGAATAGAGTGCCCAAGAGATGGCACTGGCAGTAGTGTCATGGCCTGTAGAAAATAAAATAAATTTTGATTTTTGTTTTTTTAGTTTCGGTAATTTTATATTTAAATAATATTTGAATATACTCTCAATATTAGCTTCCAGAAATCTTTAACTGGACAAATAAGTACTTAGGTGTGATCATTAATAATAAGCTAACATGGCATGAGCACAGCCAAATACTGTATAAAAAATTCAACCAATGACTTTTCTACATTAAAAAATTGTACAATTTCTACGTAAACAAACAAGTCGTTAACTTGTTCTACAGTGCAACAATTGGAAGCCTACTTAATTTCAGTATTAACTGCTGGTGTGGGAATTCAACGTCTGATATTAAACATGGAATAAACAGACTAATCAAGAAAGCTAGGAGCATAACACAAACTAAACATTCTTCACAGGAACAAATATTTGAAGGAAGATGTTATTGTAAAACTAAACAAATTTTGGATATATCCCACCCTCTTCATCACAGATACTTAGGATCGGCCTGCTCAGGACAAATTCTTTCTCACAGGGCGAGGACTGAAAGATATTAAAATTCTTATGTTGCCCAAACTGTATGAATTTACCAGTGTGCTGCCCAGAAGTCACAAATCTAAATGAGAACTAATAAAGCCCTGATATGGCTAAAAGAATTCACTGAATGTCTGTTTTTTTTTTAAATTACTGAGATGCTTTAAAATTAAATTTGGTTTTGTAAAAACTACACATTCTGAAAATTAAAGCTACATGGAGGTAGACATCACAGCAACAATGGAGGAGGGCGTGCAAAAAGATACTTTGCTCTTCACCTTCAAACAAAAATGTGTCCACCTCATCTCTAATCTCAGCATCAGTGAGTCCATTGCCATTTTCATCTTTGGCTGTCAGCAGAATGTCCAGAAAATCAAGACATCTACGATGTGATCGGTTGACATGTACAAGACCTTCCTTTCTCTAATGATTTAAGAAGCTTGTCAATGAAAATTGGATTAATAAATAAATATACCATTTTTTTTAAATAAATTCCTAAAAATACTCTTTAACACAAATGCTTTTATTTAGAGCATTAATTATTGCTTTGTTTGCAGATAGGATTTTATATTTTTAATTGAAGAACATAAGAACAAAACTTGATATCCTTTAACCTGAATACAGAAACAAGATTTGTCAGTGCTTAAGGGAAATTTTATCACATTGATTTTTTTAATTTTTATTTTGTGTAACCATAATTAAAGCTTATTATGAAATTTTATCACATCAAATGTTTAAATTTGTATTTTGTGTAGCCTTAATTAAAGCTTAACATATATTGTTTTACTTAAACAAATTGTTAGTGTCTCATTAATTAGGATCCTACAAAACTGACAAAATGTTAGAGAGGAATAAGGAATGAAGTTGAAGGAGTGAGTGTACGGTACTTCATACAAAATACCCTCACCAATTTTTCTTTTCTTTTGTAGATGATCTCCTCAGCCACCTTGTGCACATAGTCACAATTTTTTCTAAACTTCCTGCCCTTTGCTGTTAGGAAGTACAGGAAGTCTGAGTGAAACCACGGCTGGCTGGAGCACACATAAATGTAAACATTAATCAAACAAGCAACAATGATATCTTAAGCAATCCACTCAATGAGTCTTCTCTTGGTAAGATTTATATACTTATTGTAGTAATTAAATGTAGTGTGTCATAAGTGGTGAGGTGTCTGCTATTATGAAGAATTTGAGAAATATTTTTTTGCACAAATGTGTTCCTGAGATTGTGTAGGATGGAAGAAATGCATTTTCTGCCATGGTAAAGCCCTGGATCTGGAAATCCATGTTCATCCTCATGTGAGCCATACAAATAAATTGAAAAATCAGGATTTTGTGCTGCGGCTAGGTCAGTCATGAACTTTCAATGTCAGTTTTTAATTGGTTTACAACTATTTCCTGTGCACATTGCATAAGACAGCTTTGCTAATTACATGAGAACATTTTGCTGAGTGTTAATTTACTTGAAGTCTGAACGTTGTGAAATTTCATTATTAAATAATCATTCCTAGTCATGAACAAAAAGTAAAATTCACAACACTATATATAAATCATGAAACACTGCTATTAAATCAAATGAGAGTGTATATCGCAGGTATAAATAAAATGTAATAAACATGACTTTTTTTTAAATTGATCGCATTTCAAAAAGTCTCAGAAGATCAGAGTTTCCTTTAAGTTTTCAGAGGTGTAAACCTTACAGGCAATAAAAATTTACTCACAAAAATCTGGTCACCATCAACTCAGACATTTCATTAACAGCCTGCACATACGGATGTTTCTCCCTGTAATCCAAGAAGGTTTATTGTGAGATAGATAGCTATTTTATTTTATCTATAATTTAATCTTTTTTTTAATCAACATCAACCAAAAAAAAAAAAAGTTCTAACAAGAAAAAGACAAATTTTTATTTCTATCTGCATGAGTTATCTACCATTTGGCGGGGGGGCATTTGCATCCCACATTTACCTACCCTTGACTCTGACAGCCAGTTTCATAAGACATGGCACATTTCAGTATGACATCCAGTGTGAACATTGTGATGTTGGCAAACACCCGGAATGGCTTCTGTGTCTCAGATGCATACTGGAACTTCAGCTACAACATTAAACAACACACAAAAATTTTTAATTTACCATCCTCATAACATTTTCTTGTGAGATTCAAGCTTCCCACATTTTTTTTCAAGCAGGATATATTACTGTTAACCATTATTATTGATATAATACTATGCTTATAGCCTCTGTCAATATATTCAAACAAAATAATAGTCAGTTGGAATCATATGTTTGGCTAAAAAAAAATCTATTAGGGCTAGGAAGTTGAACTTGAGTAGTCAATCACTACTTACTCCTAATGAGTGCACAAATTAGAACAAAAGCCACAATAGCTACCAAAAAAAACCCACCCCATTTTAAATACAGCACTGTTTTTTATCTTTTTTTTTTTTTTCTTTTTTTCTGGGTTTTTTTTTTTTTGTTTTTTTTCTATTGGGTGATTCACAGCTTAAACTTCAGATGGCAAATGCCTGACAAGCCATGGCAATTTAAGGTGACAGAGCTCACCAACACACGATAACTATTCTCCTCAGAAATTTTTTGAGCTACCATCAAATTTTCTAGTGATGGTAATTGTACATGCATTATTTCAGGTTTCAATTGAATTCCTCTTTCTCCGCAGACTGCTAGCAGGATATGGCACAGTTACAAGCCAACAAACTATGGCAGTTGCAAGCAAGCCATCCCACAGTTACAAGCCAACCAGCTAAGGCAGTTGCAAGCAAGCAATCACACAGTTACAAGCCAACCAGCTTTGGCAGTTGCAAGCAAGCCATCACACACTTACAAGCCAGCTGTAGCACAATTACCAGGAGATTATCTCCACTCCTATTTTCTAACCTAAATTTTAATTAGCCCATCTTTTATGAACACTGAATAAATGCAAGAAAACTATCCCAGTCCAGCCATACAAAGGAACAATACAAAAACAAACCAGCCAAGTGATGTAAAACTTACCAGCAGCTGGTCTGCGCTCCTGTTTTTTAACTCGACATAGTTTTTGAGTATTTCAAAGTGGAAGGCTGGTGTCAAGAGACGTCTGTTTCGAGCCCACTTTTCACCCTTGCTTGTTAGCAGTCCGTCTCCAACCCAGGGCCGGATGAGATTGTAAATCCTTTCACCTTTGGGCTCTAAGTCAAGGAATATTTGCCTTGATAAAATGAATTTAACATATTTTGTTTCATTTTAAATTATGTCTTATGCAAAAACTGGATCAAAAGAATCCAACTTACCAATGCATTGAATTATATGCTACTTCCAAAAGAGAGATGTGATTCTGAAAAATATATACTTATGTTTGTACCAGAATAAACTTCGGAGCCCTGATTATCTCAGCTTATGTGTCAACATTCTCATTTTTATTTCTACAGGAATTTATTGGCATGATTGATTTAATTGGCAGTTTAAATTTGCCATTACTGCCACCTTCTGCCTCCTTCAGCCACCAACTGGCACTTACTAGCACCTTGTGCTAACTGCCACACTGCGCTACCTTGTGTCACCTACTGCCACCTTAGGATACCTACTGCCACCACTGCCACCTTGTGCAACCTACTGCCACCTACTGGCATCTTGTGCTACCTACTGGCACCTTGTTTTGTTTCTGAGTCATTCTAGAAACCAGATTCACCAAAACAAAGCCATTATCTAACACAGAGTTCCTCAAACTCTTTTAATCAATGGGCCAATTCACCATCCCTGAGACATTTGGGGGCCATTTCACTGTCCCTCAGACACTGAATGAATTTCTATGCACACCTTATTTTAGAGGGGTGGGGGGGGGGGGGGAATGACGGGGAAAAAAAAATAAACAAAATGACAGGGAAAACAAACTAAACAAAATGGAGAACAATTTTAAATCGCATAAACATTAAAGTTATCAGAATGGCAAGAATGTGGCTGTTTTTGACTAATGAGATGTTTGATGTCAAGTTCCACATTTGTCACCTACAGGGTGGCCAGGGGAGTTGAAGTTTGAGGACCCTTGATCTAATATAACCCTAATTAAGTGAATTTTTTTCCATTTTTATCTCAACCTTAAAATATTTTCAATTTAAATTTGACTATTAACCGTCAAATGATCATGAAAGACCGACCTGAAGTTTTGAGAATACCCTTGACAGTGTCAGGATGGCTGACTATGACCATAGGATTGTGCAGCATCCAGGCCAATGAGCTCCTTGGGTACTTGCCAGTACGCTCTCTCTGGTACGCTAGCCCTCTCTCATCTGGGCCGGGGTACTGAGGGGATAGTAAGAAAGGGAAATAAAAGAGGTTGTTAAATCATTTCATTGTATTAATCATTTTTTAACTTTTATTTTTTTTTTGAATAAACTTTCCATCAAAGAGTGAATAGAAATTCTGTAACTACACAGAGGCCCAAAGCAAACAACAAAAAGTAAAAGAGAAAGAGCCTGGCAACTGATGCATTTCACATTGAGTCCAAAGATTTATGAACTAGGTGGCCTCAAATACAAAGTCAATGTGGGGGGAGAGGGGGGAATGGGAAGTGGGGGAATGGGTGGGGGGGGGGGTATTGGAATCCTTGTTTAAAATTAATAATATATTATTCCTAACATCTCACTATTTAATAATATTTCACTCAATATGTAAACTAATTAATCCGCTTCTAATTATAAAAGTGTTTGACTCGGACTTCGATATGAACTAGGTGGCCTCAAATACAAAGTCAATGTGGGGGGAGAGTGGGGAATGGGAAGTGGGGGAATGGGTGGGGGGGGGGTATTGGAATCCTTGATTAAAATTAATAATATATTATTCCTAACATCTCACTATTTAATAATATTTCACTCAATATGTAAACTAATTAATGCGCTTCTAATTATAAGAGTGTTTGACTCGGACTTCGAAAGAGCTTTCTGGCAGACTAATGAGACACAAACAATTGTGTCAATAGAACAATACAGGTTAAGCTTGAATTATGGTTGCACAGAATACAAATGCAAATGTTTCGGCAAAGGCCTTCATCGGTACAAAAAAAAACATTCAAATAATTATCAATTAAATTTACATGATAAATATATTTAGGACATTGCTTCTCATTAACAATATGCTTCTACAGGTTTTTAATAACACTTATGTGGGAAAAATGATTTTTTCTTGTTGGAGTGTGTGTGTGTGTGTGGGGGGGGGGATCTCTTCACAATTTTAAACAGTTATATTTGATTTGATAAATTATGGGGAAGTCAGGTAGAATTAACCTTAAAATATTTAATAAAAAATATAAAAAATATAATTATTCCATTTCTCAGAAATTATAGCACTTTTTTTGTAGATAATAATCATAAGTTGAGCAAAATGTCTGCTTTGATTTTAATATCATGTATTTAAAAATTGACCTATTCCTCACGTCTAACAAGTGACCAAGTATTAGATGTGATGGATCTTGTGGAAACTTTCGGTACATGTCCCTCCTCCTCTTGTAGGACCTGACCGCAGTGACCAGCTTGAAAACAACAACCACCATAGCCGCGAGGAACACACACCCTACCACGTAACTAGATAGGGCTGCCATGGCCAGCATCCAGAAAAAGAAGTCGGAGGGGGGAAAAGAATTTAAATTCAGGTCACCTAAAGAAAAGAGATATATAAACACTTTAAAAAAACACATATTTTAATGAATGTAAACACTGGGTCTTTCTTTAACATCTACTAAACAATTTCAATCTATTGTATTTGTAATTCTGTTTAAAAATCTCTCTGCTTTCAATTACTTGAAAATCTTGGTATATGACTGTCATCCAGTGTCAATCTGTCACAACCTTGTACAAATAACTGAAATGCTAAGTACAGCCTCAGAAGAAAAAAAAAAATTTTTTAAGAAATGTGCTACTTATTGAAGCAAAATACCCACCCTAATCTGTTTCTTTTCTGCTATTGTGTGTTAACATGTTAGCAGCTATGTTATTAAATCTGGAAAACAATATTTGAACATACATTACATAAAATTTCCATAGAATATTTAAAATAGAGAAATAATACAACTGCTTACTAGAGTTTTGTGAACATCTGTATTCCTGTCTGTTCAGTTGCAGACTACTTTAGTGAGGGTTGAGGATGATTGTCTTCAATCAAGCTTACAATAAAAATGCAAATAGTATAAAACTTCACAAGAGATAAATATGACACAATAACAAAACAGATACTACACACAACTCCCTATGTCTGACAAGATAAGAGTGTTATCATTGAAAGGTCACAAACAACCATTTATTTCCTTAGTCAGGATTAAGGTTACTGTAGACACTGTAGTATGGAAATTGAAGTAACTGGGAGCTTTTTTGAAATAAAAAAAAAATCTTAGTACTGCCCCTGATGACTAGGTTAAGCTCAAGAGTGAGAGCAACCTTTCATCTGTCAGATTTGAAAGGCCTTATGCTTTCATTATTTGTATTATTAGATTTATAATGTGCATTGTCAATCCCTGAAATAAAGATTATATTTTAAACCCTTCAAGCAGAGGCACAGCTAGGGTCAGTGCCTCCAAGGGCTTTTTGTCCAGCCTCCCCTCACATTCAAAATAATAAAAGTCTGCCATTGGCTGAAAATGCCCCCCCCCCCCTTTTTCAATATAAAGAAAAAAGCACTGCCCTGGGCAGACCACCCCCTCCACCCCACCCCCCCTTTCCTAAACCACTGACAGATTATAATAATTAGTAGAGTGTTTTAAATTATTTTTGCCAAATTTTTTTAATCTTTGGGTGTTTGTTTCATTTCTTTAAATTAATTTTAATTAATTTGAAATTAACATCCAGTTTCTCAGTCTACCTGTTAGCAGGTAAGCTTATGGGTTATAGTCATAAATCTATAATAAAATTAAAATTCTTTTTTAAAAAAGGTCCAATAGAGGACAATAGAAAAATATATTTTGGGGCTAATTATAAATTAAAATCTTTCTTTTAAAAAATAACAGCTGAGACTAGTGGCTGATAACTGAAATGATAACAGATATCCTGAGATATCAAAATGCACAGACAAAATATAAAAGGTCCAAGGCTAAACAGTACATAAATACAGTGGTCTAGCTCGGGTTAGTGCTGCCCTGGGTGGGCCAATCTATTTGCTGCCCCTCTTCCACGAAAAAACTCTGCAATTGGCCAATGCAGCCCATCCATTTAAATAAAACAAGTGTTGCCCCCTCCACACCCCTTCCTAAGCCACTGATTTAAGATCATCATGAATCATGCACACTATTGGTTACAGTTTGGGTCAACCATAGGATTTTGTTGTTTTGATATTTTTAAACAAATTTTCTGTTGGTTGAGACAATGTGGTGAATAGAAATTAGATTTGAGCACTGAAAAGCAAAATTCAAAAAATAATAGAGCAGAAGATAATTGAAGCTGTCTGTTAATATATTGCAAGGTATGTTTATTAATTCAAAATAACTGAGAATTCTTTATTTAAAAAAAGGTAAAATAACTATAAACAATGTTACTACTGTACCAAACGTCCCGTAAAAAAAGGGATTGTCCCGTTTTTTCACAATCGTACCCGGTATCCTGAAAAAGTGTCTTGGGACACCTAGATGTCCTGTTTCTAAAACCAAAAACATTTTCTATTCACTAAAACTTCCTAAATTATAATATAACTTCAAGTATATATTTTGGTTAGCTGTGTAGCCAGTGCCAGGAGTGATGTGGGCTCGCGTGATGGCTGCACTGCTCCCCCTCCACCACTCACCAACACTGCGTTAACGACAGTGTCCCTGCCATAGATCTTATATGTATAAAGAAATAAGTATTCACTGCAAAGTTATTGTTTTCGTTTATGATATGCCTCAGAGTTTAAATTAAATTAAAAAAGTGAAGGTAAATTTAAAAAGATTTCTAGATCTCAAAATAGTTAAAATAGAGCATATTTCAATGAACATTTCCGGCGGGGTCCCAGACCCCTCTTTAGCTAAAGGCTAAAGGGTATCCTCCTAAACCCTCTTTGGGTGTGTCCCGTTTTTTCCAGTTCATGATTTTGTCACCCTATTAGCCCTATACTACTGGTAACTTACTTTATTCTTGCACTCAGCTAAAACTTATAAAACCAGTTAAATGATGTTTAAGTTTAAGTTACCTAGGCCTAAGCCTAATCCTAAGCCCTAAACTAAGATATAATAATATTGTCAATATTATTGATAATGCTGCTGCTTAAATGCAGCATATGCTTACTCTCCTATACTGAAATAGTAGTAGGATAGACACTGTCTGAAAAGATTTTTTTTTAGTCCTGCCTTGTAAAATCTCTAGCTGCCAATTCCAACTTAAACTTAAAGATTTAACTTCATTAAGTCATAAGTTAAAGTATAAAAATAAATTTAAAGACATCATGGCATCATTTTAAATAATTTAATTTTTATTATAATATATAATATAAATGTATTAATAATAAATAATATTAAGCTTATAATATTATTACTTATCATTTACACTTTTATAAATATAAAAGTTATTATTAAACTTGAACTGAAGCAATTAAATAACAATTTTGATTCTTCAGTTTTTAAGTATTACCATTATATTAATAATCATTATTAATATTATTATCACTGCTGCATAGCCATTCATAATGTCAATAAATCAATAATGAATTCTGTGCATCAATAATTGCAACATTTTTCAGTAAAATGTAAAGCGTTTGATTACCTCTGCTTTCACCCCTCCCAATGTTTTTGTTTACGAAAAGCTTCTAACTTTAAACACAAACTATAAAAGAGCTCTCCGAGCAAACTAGAGTTGCCAAACTTTTTTGTTTGAAACTAATGTTAATTTAAATATAAAATATTTTTTATTAAAATGGAAGGGAAAAAACTCGACTTCCCCACCCCCCCCCCCCTACTGGGAATTGATCTCAAAATAAAATATCGCCAAGCGTCCACTCTCCCACTTGACCACACAAGATCACAAAAACACTTCGTTTTTTATAGTTTTTTAATCCCATCCTCTCACGTCTGATGCCATCTTTCCCTCCCCTTCATAACGTCTCTTTTTTTTTTTATCACTCTCCCCCCCCCCTAATTACACTGCCCAGACCACTGGGGGAATAAGTTTGATGTGTGTTAAAGTTAGGTCTTGTTGACACACCAAGTTAGAAGCCTGCCATTGTCGTCAGATGTTGTGAGTTATCATGAGTTATGTTGGCATTCATAATCTTAGTGTGTTCAGCTGGTTTATTTGTGATCAAGTAAGTCAATGCTTTCTGTAAATTCTCATCTTGGGTTTTTATCAAGTTACGTATAATTTAAAAAGACAAAACAGTTTCATCTTCTTTATTGGTAGCAAACTATTTTTATAAATTTAGACTAAATAGGACCACAGTAGTGCATATCTATTTCGCAAACACCTGCTGGGGTGATGTTGTCTACCATCTTTTCCAGCTAGCTATTATCTCCTAGATGTATAGTGGCCTGTGTCATTTATGGTTTGCAAGGGATGAAAGACTTTGAATGGATATTCTCATATGTAGTTTTTTGAATTGAAAGCTTTGCAGATTTCCAAAAAAATAAATAAAATATTATCACAAAAAAATATTAAATGCTAGTATTAATATGATCAAATGATTTTAATTTCACGATTTATCAAGGAGTTGTTTTTCTAAAGAAAAGTACCCAAACAGAGACTCTAATCATCATGAAGTGTATCCATATAATATGTTGCATATAAAAGTACTGACTAATAATAATAGCAATAGTATTACTATTACTATCATACATAAACAAGTCGTAAGTAAGCTTAGTTTTAATTATCATTTCCCGACAACAAAATTCTAATATAAAAAATAAAGTTAGATCTATATTTTTATAATTTTAATTGGCTAAAGTTTATATTATCCATTTAAACGTATATTTATAGATTGTATTTGGATTTTATTGAGTTTCAAAAATTTCATAATAAATAAATAGTGTGACTATGCGAGATACAGTAAATATTTTCCTTAAAATTTTTTAAAAGCGGAAAACTCCGGCCAATGGGAACTTGTGTAATTAAAATAAATTAATGTAAAGTAGGGTAAAGCTAAGCACTTCTGATTCTGATGTATTATCTAAATATATTTCTTTTAAATATGTAACTGATATGAATCATCTTCTAAATTTTGTTTCTAGTATTGCATTGTAGAAATGTGTTTAATTTAATTATCATGATTGCTAGTCATTAACTAGGGGGAGTAGTATTAATTATTAAGACTACAATAAGACAGAATGACAAACAAAATATTTTTGTTTTAATTTAAAGCTCATTGACTCTACCTATTGGGAAGGAGGAGAGAGAGACAATAATGCAGATATTGGATCAAGAAGCTCTTATTCCTTATTCATCCTAAACAGTCATTATTTCAGGTGGTGTGGGAGGAGGGGGGGGGGCAGTGCCAGTTGATTTATTGTTGGAAATATTTTTGCTCAGGAGGGGAGGGGAGGGGGGGGGCAGACCCGGAGATACAGCTGAAAGAAACCCTGATCCTAAATATTAAGCCTGGACTCCACCCTTTCACTATGTTACAGAGTTACTGGATGAATATCTTTGAAGATTTTCCCCTAAAAACAACTGGTGGTAAGTTTGTATCTAATCACTTGGTGAAAAAATGCATAAAGAATAAACCTACAATATTTTTATAACAATAATTGAAACATGCATGTGTTATTTCCATGCTAATTGGTTTATATTTTCGTTATTTCATTCTAATAGGTGTGGACGACAGGGACCTCCTGTGGTGACTAACACATGTTAATTAATATTAATTTATTATTTCCATGCTAATTGATATATGTTTGTGTTATTTCCATGCTACTTGCTTTATTTTTGTGTTATTTCCATGCTAATAGATACGGACTGCTGGATGCGGATGACTGGGAGCTAAAACATTGACTGAAATTTCTGACTTTTGTCTCATTCTTTATATCTACTTCTCTCGACAGACAAGTCTGACATGGGGAGGTGAAAAGCATTGATGCGCATTCAACGCCTCTCCTACTTAGAGGAAGTGACTGCCAGAAGTACCAAATTCTGACTCATGTAGCATTCCTGGATACTTCTAAAATATGGCCTCTCCTACCTAATTGTTTCTGAATGAGCATCTTCACGTATGTACTTCTACTAATGTTGTACTGGTCCTCCCTGTTTATAACAAAGCCTCATTCAGGTGCGACCGATGTCCAGTGGTATAACTGGACATTTTACAACCTGCTCATGTGCCACAT